TTCTGGGTCGCCCTCTTTCTGCCCCTCCCCCACTCATACCCTGTCTCTGTCTCTCAAGAATAAATAAATGTTAAAAAAAAATGATACTAGCCCACGGGCAACTGTTTTTTAAAGGGCACCCGTGTCTCAACTGTGGGAGTGTACGACCATGGGAGTCGTACAGGTCTGTGTTTGGGCCTATGCTCCATCAACTGGGGTTCTCTTCTTGTCCCTGGAGCTCAGGGCTGAGGGGTGAGGAGCAGGACAAGCCATCTGCCCCACCCGAGGGTCGCCTGGTTCCCCAGCATGTTTCAGTGGTCCCCTCTTGAGCACAGCTCAGCGGGCAAGCTCACTAGTCTGGGTGGTTCTGAGCTTCTTGGATGGGGCCAGGGCTGCTGGACCTCATGTACTGAGGAACCACTGGGGCCCATAGTTAATCGGGAGGAACCCCAGGGAGTGCAACTGGAGACTTGGGAAGGCAGTATCATTTATCCCGGGGTGTGCCAATAAACAAGGCAACCTGAACGCCCCCACCTGCTTTCCTGGGAAGTGGACATTTTTGTCAAACTCCATGGCCAGATTCCCAGCCATCACTTCTGCACTCAGAGCCCCGAGCCTGGGGAAAGGCCTGACCTGTCACCACAACTCCATTGCCACCTGTGCTGGCACGGTGGGCTGACCAGACCCCTGAGGCCCCGACTCAGCCGCCTACACCTGCTGCTGCCAGGGACCCAGGCGCGTCTGCTGAAAACCATGACCGTGTCACTTGTGAGCCGCTGCGATGCTGAGCCTGGGTAGGGACCTGCTTCCTCCCCCCACCACAGCCGGGTGAGGAGTCCAGCTCTGGGAGGCAAAGTGCCCAAAGTGAGGTTGTCTGATCCCGGCTGGCACTCCCTACCGTGTGGCAGGGCATTTTGATCACTAACTCGTTGCTGCCTTTCCCACTCACGGGGGAGTGACCCCGGAAGACCACGCAGAGCCGAGGCCAGTTACGCCTAGTGGTGAGTCCCGAGCTGCCTCGGGGCCACGTGGGTGCTCTCTCCTGTGCGGGTCTGGAAGAACCGAATGAGCTGACCCCACACCAGAGCCATCACTGTCACTAATGAACACCAAGAGGGGCCGGAAGGGAGCCCACTCGGGTTCTGGATGAGGCCCACGGTACAGCAGCTAGCCTCTGCTCCCCCGACCCCGTCGCCAACTGGCCCTCTCCAGCATGTACCTTGAGCCACTGCTTCTCGGTCAGCGAGTCGCTGTAGTCCACCTCCTTGCGGTGGCGGGAGCCTCGGCCAAACATTTTCTCCTCTTCCTCCTCGCAGGTCAGACGCTCTACCTCGGCATCGTCCTTGATGATCCATGAGGGGAGCTCATCCTCCTCCATCAGGCGCGGCTTCCGCTTGGGGTTTCGGGCCTCCTCGCGCCTGCGGTCCAGGTCCATGCGCTGGGGGACGCGGGGCAAGGGGGCAGAGGGAGAGAGGCGTGAGCATGAGGAGAGCTGCACGCATACAAAGGGCACGTGGCAAGGGGAGGCCTCTCTGCCTGACACAGATGCTACAAGGCAGCTCAACAGAGGCTCTGGAGTTTGCAACGGCCAGGCCGGCCCGGTGCTGATAGTAGACCCTTGCTAGGAGCTCCGGCTTGAGGCAGAAAATTCCAGAACAGACGGCAGAAGAGAGGCTGAGGGCTCACACTCTGATTCCATGCTGACCAGTGCTCTCTACCCAGGGCTCAGGAGCATCTGTGACTGACCACTGGCCTGGGACAGTGTCAACTCCCTCTGAAAGGGAGCCTCAAGGGCAAAGGACTCAGGAGGACACGCATTCTGCAGTACTGAGAATCCAAAGGGGACCCTGTGTATGTGTGTGCGCGTGTGTGTGCGCGCGCACGCACCACCACTGCTGCAACACTCCTTGGAAGCCACAGAAGAAAAATGGGTCGCTTAGGAGGCAGTGTGCGGCCACCTCGTGAAACACCCCTGGCTCCGTTACCCGCAGGGGACACCACCGTCACCGAGACGTTTTGCTCGATCTCGTGTTGACAGGGTGGGGCGCGTGAAGCCGCAGGGCACCCTGTGAGCCCGTGAGGCGGGAACAGTGCCTCTGCCTCCGCGCGGCGCTTACCATGAACAGGTCAAACTCTTCCTCGTGCCGGGCAATCATCTGGTTCACCGTCTCGTCGTCGGGCACCTCGTCTTCTTCCTAGAAGGTGGCACACATTTAGTTCGGGTGCGGAGAGGCCGGGCTGGGCGGCGGCAGGCCACGGGCAACGAGCTGGCGGTCCCGGTCCGGCTGCGGTGGATGGGGACCCACGCGGCAGCGAGAGGCACACACGCACACGCACACGCACGCTCCGTGGGGTCAGGGCCCTTGCTGGCCGTCTCAGCCGGGAAGCCGAGGACCGGATGGGCGTGGAGACTGAACTACCCCTCTCACCTTTAGAGGTGGCTCCTCCAGGTCGGGGTTGACGCCCGCTGGCGGAGGGGCAGTGTGGGCGAAGCTGGCACTGCCGCTGCCCGTGCTGCAGTGTCTGCTCTGTGGATAAATAGAGGACTTCAGGCTCCAGGGCTGTCAATCCGGCGCCTTTCACCAGTAGTTTAGAAAAAAAAACCACTTCAAAGAAAAAGCAAGTACTCATCCTCTTTCCTTTCAGCCCACACTCCCTTTACTCCAAAGGGATGCAAAAAAAAAAAAAAAAAAAAAAAAGAGTGCAAAAAAGGTAAAAAAACAAAAATGAAAGCCGCTCATGCGTCCACCACTCACGCCGGGGAGGGGGTCGGGGCCGGCGCTGCCCTCACCTCGTCCTGCTCCTCGTGCTCCAGGATGGCCTGCAGGAAGGCGCGCCTTTCATGGCTGGAGGACTTCTGGTCAAACATGCCGGCCTGGATCACCTTCTGGTCGACATTGAGCTTGTATTTGGCTGCGGCCAGAATCTTCTCCTCCACGCTGTTGACCGTGCAGAGACGGAGCACTCGCACCTCGTTCTGCTGCCCGATGCGGTGGGCGCGGTCCTGGGCTTGCAGGTCCTAGAGGAAGAGACGCGGGTCAGTCCCCATCCAGCTCTATGCCGTTTTAAGAGGAAGTCAACCTCGTGGCGCCACCAGGAAAGACTTTCCGGTTCTCGTGTGCCTGCCTCCTCCTGCCTGCCTGCCCCAACCAGCAGCTTCTTGAGCTGGGAGCCCAGGAACGCAACCTGAAGACTGGGCCGGGATGACGTCACCCTGGGATCGCCCCTACCCACCTTACTGGGACTCTACGGGTCTTCAGGCGGAAGGTGCCAATTGGAGGACAAGTCCTGGATGGTCATGTTCCCAAGCAGCTCATGTCACAGCTGACAAAGGACCCCTCACCTACCCTGGGAGGGCCCCGTGCATGGTGTGGCCGTATGCATTAAGGACACCACGCACAGGACATGACCGAAGCAGGACAGCATCTTGGCAGTGCCTGGTTTGGCTGCGGGCCCTGCTACTTCCCTTATGTGCAGCTCAGGCCGAGACCCCACCTCTATGAGCCTCAGGACTCACTCTGCTGACATGGGCCCTTCTCCTGGCTGTCGTGTGGGGAGAGGAGCTAAATGGCACTGGGCGCTCAGCCCAGAGCGTGACGCACAGTGAAGCTCTGATCAAGTGGTAGCCGTGGCTGCCAACACTTCTCTATCATCACCCCCAGCCCCAAATCAGGAGGGTTCCCGTGAAGTCCTGCATCTGGGCCAGAGGGATGTGGGCCTACGGTCAAGAATCATACCCCATGGGGTTGATGGAGGCCACGCCTGGCCCGGGGGTGGGGGGTGGGGCAGACAGGAATGCCCCTGGCTCGGCCAGTATGCTTCCCAGTATGCTTCCCGGCAGGGTAAGCACTGGATCATGTGCCCTAGGCCCTGTAGGAAGTTTAGTGGCTTCTGATGCCCCTAGTGTGGCAGAGGACAGGGCTCCAGGGGGACCTCTGCCCACTATCTGCCTGCTGATGGGGGCAGCACACCCCCCAACCACTTCTCAGGAAATTGGCTGGTCGCTGAGGTCTTGGTGAGAAGTACACCCCAGGCTGATGGTAGAAAGGGTGGCTAGTAACCAACCAGAGCATCGGCCCATCAGATGGGCTAGAATTCCCACACTGCTGACTAGTGCCCCTAGGCTGTGGGGAAGGACATGCTCATACCCTGGGGGGGGGGGGGGGGGGAGAAACCTAGGGCAGCCTTCTGGAGGCCACTGTGGCACAAGTGAATAGAAGATAAAGAGATCATGGCCACGGGCCAAGCAATCCCACCACTGAGGGTGGACTGGCCAGTGAATCCTCATACAAATACCCCAAGAGAGGGACAACAGGGCTCCCTAAGTGGTCACGCTGAGAAACAAAACCCAGACACCTGCCAAGTGCGGTCTGAGTAAAGTCTCAGGGCCACCATATGGCCGGACACCTGGCAGCTGAGCACACGGCTGTGTGGCCTCCCAGTGTGCTCGCACCGAGAGGAGAATACACCAGCTGCTAAAGCACATGCTAGAATGTGCTGTGTTTTGTGTCAAAACCCGAACGTGCCTGTGTGCATACGGGTACATGTTGGCATATGCTGAGACTGGTGGGACGGGGAAAAAAGGACGGTTATTTCGCGTTATTGATATCTGCATTAAAAAATGATCACTTTTATAATGAAACATTGGGAAAAGTTAAAAACTGCTGTTATCTGTAACACCCCGTTTCTCTGTAGCTGGTGTCGTAGCGCCCTGTAGAGGGCATATGGATAAGAAAGAAGAGGGGCGCCTGGGCGGCTCAGTCAGTTAAGCATCCAGCTTCAGCTCAGGTTGTGATCTCACAGT